TCTGATCCAACTCACCACCAGGTGGTGATCAGTTGACAGCTCCGCCCCTCTCTTCACTCGGGTGTCCAAAACATACGGCCGCAGGTCAGATGATACGACTACAAAATCTATCATCGACCTGTGACCTAGGCTGCCCTGGTACCAAGTGTACCGGTGGGCATCCTTATGTTCGAACATGGTGTTCGTTATGGCCAAACTGCGGCTTGCACAGAAGTCCAATAACAAAACACCGCTCGAGTTCAGATTAGGTGGGCCGTTCAGATTAGGGGTCCCACCCTGGAGCCAGGCCTGCGGTTGGGGCCCGTGAGCGAGCGCCTGGTGGCCGGGCTTTCGCCCATGGGGCCCGGCCGGGCCCAGCCCGAACCGGATACATGGGCTCGTCCAACTGTGGACCCACCACCCGCAGGAGGAACATGAAGGGTCCGGTGCAATGCGAATCGGGTGGCAGACCAAGGCGGGAGCCTTGGCGGTCCAATCCCCGGACAAGAAAACTAGTTTTTGGGACATGGAAGTGATAAAAAACAATTTTTGTAATGTTCTTAATGTGGGGAATAAAAGTTAGCTCAGAGTCAAAAATAACGCCCAGGTTATTCACTTGAGAAGACGAATTAAGAGTTAGTGACTGTAGCTTTGGAAAATTTTCTCTCTGGGTCTCAGGACCGATGACTAAAATTTCGACTTTGTCCCAGTTAAGCTCGAGAAAGTTTTCTGCCATCCAAGATTCAATTTCCGAAATGCAATTAAAAAGGCGTCCAATGGCTGTGCATCATCGGGACACACAGAGATGTACAACTGTGTATCATCTGCATAACTGTGAAATTGTACTCTGTGTCGCCCAGTGACGCCACCAAGTGGAAGCATATACAGATTAAAAAGCACTGGGCCTAAAATCGAACCCTGGGGCACACCACAAGTACTCTCACAGGTCTTAGAACAGAAGGTATCTAGACTTACCATAAAAGTCCTGTCTGTGTGTCTGTGAGATACGGAGGAAACCATTTATGGACAGCACCAGAGAGGCCGATGTGTTTTCACCGGGTTAAAAGAATGTTGTGGTCCACTGTGTCAAAGGCAGCGCTTAAATCTAGTAGAACCAGAACTGTCACTTTCTGTGCATCATAATTTATTCTTATGTCATTTAAAACTCGTAAAAGGGCTGTCTCAGTGCTGTGGTTTACTCAAAAACCAGACAGAAATTTCTCAAGGACATTATGTGTATTAATAAAATCATTAAGCTGTATTAAAACAAGCTTTTCTAGAGTTTTACTTAAGAATGGTAAGTTAGATATCGGTCTGAAGTTGTTAAAATCACAAAAATCTAAGTTTTTCTTCTTCAAGAGGGGCCTCACCACCACCCCTTTAAAGGCAGCAGGAAAAAACCCTGTTTGAAGAGAACAGTTCATCATGGTTAAAATCTCATCTCTAAAATATTCATAAAATGGCTTAAAAAACGAAGTAGGAACTGGATCTAAAAGACGTGGTGGGCCTCACCGAGGAGAAAACTTTAGAGTTTCAGCCCCAACCAGGACAAAACTGTCCAGTGTTTCCTCTGGTAAGGGTACACACTCAGATTTCGATAAAACCATGTCACTGTGAGAGGATAAAATGTTGCATCTGATTGTGTGTTCTGTGAATCAAGTCAACCCAGAACATTCTTTATTAAAGTCACACTTGAAACCATTTTTCGGTAAGCCAATATTAAAACATTGTCTAGATTAAAAGTATTTCTTTAATTCCTTTAGCTGTAATAAACATTTCTGGGATTCTCGCAATTGGAGGACCAAAAGGTTCATGACAGCTCTTTCCATCCTGTTTCCAGCCCTGTCCTTCAAGATTAACAACCAGTGTGACATCATTCATAAACACACTCACGAATTGCCTTTGGGACCTCATTTTACAGTTTGTTTCAGCAGAGAAAGAAAGAAAGAAAGAAAGAAAGAAAGAAAGAAAGAAAGAAAGAAAGAAAGAAAGAAAGAAAGAAAGAAAGAAAGAAAGAAAGAAAGAAAGAAAGAAAGAAAGAAAGAAAGAAAGAAAGAAAGAAAGAAAGAAAGAAAGAAAGAAAGAAAGAAAGAAAGAAAGAAAGAAAGAAAGAAAGAAAGAAAGAAAGAAAGAAAGAAAGAAAGAAAGAAAGAAAGAAAGAAAGAAAGAAAGAAAGAAAGAAAGAAAGAAAGAAAGAAAGAAAGAAAGAAAGAAAGAAAGAAAGAAAGAAAGAAAGAAAGAAAGAAAGAAAGAAAGAAAGAAAGAAAGAAAGAAAGAAAGAAAGAAAGAAAGAAAGAAAGAAAGAAAGAAAGAAAGAAAGAAAGATCCATCCTGTAGCATATATTCCAGACGCACTAAAGCTCCTGGATCTTGGTGAAAGGGAGCCTGAGATAAGTTGAGTGCAGATCACAATGTGACCTCCAAGCAGCATTTTCCAGTCTCCTCAGATGAACTTGAAGTAGGAGTTTAACAAAAGGTCACGTTTGCAGGCAAAGTCAAATAACTCAGAGAGGCATCTGGATCACTAACTTATTCGTTGGATGACATAATTCAAAAAGCCACAGGGTGGAGTGACAACATTTCTTACTCATCGCATGCATGTTTCTTTCTGGAAAAAATAAATAAATTAAAAAAAAGGGATAAAAAACGGTTCTTCAAGATCCAAAAATTAACATAAGCTTTCCAGTTAAAGGCTCCTAAAGAGGCTCCAGACGACACGGACCGCTGCATCACCTGCCAAAAGAAAGCAGGGACTGAAGCTGTTCCCAGAGGAAGCGCTCTGGCTCGTAAACAGCATGGGAATGCTTATAGTTCACATTTACAACAGTCCGGTTCAGTCTCGTAGGTCCCGTTAAGAAATAGAGTCAGACTAGAAGTAAGTTGCATACAAACTGGTAAAAAAAAACATCTACTGGAGCAAACATGTAACAAAGAATCAAATGTCTGAAAGACAAAAAGGAAGTGCAACTAAGCAATCAAGTCCCCATGACCAGTGGCGGTTTTACCATTAGGCATAGTTGTTTGCCAAGTGCCATAAGACCACAAATAAGAAGAAGAAGTGAGGCGGGAGCATTTATAACAAACTCAAAGCGATAGTCAAAACATTAAGCATGAAATGGAGTTATCCTAGTGGCTCCAATAAAAGAAAGAAGTAGCTTGCTTTAAAAAGGCTTTTATTTTCACTTCTGAAAGTGATGCCATTTTTTGATGTAAACATCAAAGGAAGCAGAAAAGGAAAGACAATGGAAAATGTTTAAAGAGAGGAAAACATGGACCAAAATGGAAAACAGAGAAAAAAAATAAACAAAGGCGAAAGCACAGGAGCACTGACAGGAAAAAGAAAGCAGAGCAGATATTGAAAGCGCTCAGAGGGCGGGAAATACAGGAAAAAAGAGGAGGACTAATAAAAAGGGAAAATAACTCATGTCAGAAGAGGGGAGAGTTTCGCAAATCCAGTTAAAGGGAATATTGTCGAAAATTTTGTGTAAGGGGCCCCATGTCTGTGTTAGCCTTGGGTCCCCAAATTGCTAAATCCGCCACTGCCTATGACACCAAATTAGAGACATTTCCCAGAACATTTAACGGGCCAATGTTTCCCAACTTTTGATATGATCACAAAAAATCGTTCAGCTGCTTTTGGGCTGGGATTGGAACTTTGCCCCAAGCAGAAGAGTTCCAAAATCCTGATGTCTATTATTGTCTGTTAATCACAAGTGAGCAGAAAGTGGACCAGATGAAGAAGGAGCTTATCCAAAAGACAAAGATCTGTTCCCTGGATCCAAACAGAAAGTACAAGACTCCAGAAACAAGCAGGAACAAGATTCCTCTGTAGGGGCTGGTCTTCACCTAAGAGATGAGATCATCCAAGGTGAACACAGACTAGACCTACTGCTCCTCATCATCAAAAAGACTCTGCTAAGGTGGTTTAGTCAACTGACAGAGATGCCCGGTCACTTCCCTCTGTAGGTTTTCCAGCTATAGCTATAGATGTAGACTCTGGACTCACCGGAAGGATTATTTATCCTCTCTGGTCTGGGAATGCAATGGGATACCCTGAAGGAGTCTCCCTTGTGAGCCCAGACTGGAAAATGGATAAATGACCAACAAAAATCTATATTAGGAATTTCTAATAGTCTTTTCTGTTTACCTTTGCAATGAAATTTGATAAAAAATTTGCTTTAAATGGACGTTTATTCCAATTTTGCATAAGAATAAAAGAACAGTTTTGATAGGTGTTGCTGGTGTGTGACTGGGCCAAATGAATGAAGCTGAATGGATGTGCAGGTGCAAATAGCACAAAAGCACTACTAAAGCTAGCTTCATAATAATTAGTTAGCATCCTGCTGAAACAGGAAGCACATGGCTAATGAACACAACATTAAACCCAAAACAAAAATATGAACTTTTTACCATAAAACACCATTATCATTAGCTTCTCCACATTTATTCATCTTGGCAAATGCTTTAATTTTTGAAATCGTACACCTAGAATGTAAAGTTTTGAGCACCAACACACACTTGGATACACAAACAGGTCTGCTGTTAATGCCAAGGCATTGCTCAACACAAGTGGGGTCTATTACCAAACCAAACATGTGTCTTCAATCAGGTCTGCTGGTTTTAAATGAGAACATGGTTTAAGAGTATCCAGCTTCCCCTCGCTCACACTCAGAAACGCCGGCCAACTCTTGAGCCTCTCCAACAGCGCAGCCAGCGTGTGATACAAGAGCAGGCAGCAGCTGAAAACTCCTGTCAAATGTTTGACTTATTTGCTGCTAAAGTGTTTTTATGTGATGAATTTAGTCAGATAAAACCTGAAATAGAAATCTAGACGGTTTAACTATAAACAGAGATGTTAGTTTGCAGGGTGTAATAAAGGCTGCAAGGAGAGAAGCTGCTAAATTCATTTGTTATTCTCCGACAGAAGTCTGACGCGTGCTTTTTGTATGACTTCTTTACTGAATCACACCTGAAATCAATGAAATGTGTAAGTGATGTTTAGTTTAGCACAGAGGACTCACCTTCACTCCCAGGAGAACCCTTCATCAGGACTTGAAGGTCTCTGGCTACATTCAAGACTCGGTTCTGGAGGGTCTGACATGTTCCCTTTAGTCCACCGATATCCTGACCTGAGCTTTCACCGTCCTGTTCAGCTGGTTCACACAAGCCCACAGCCCGCTGACGTGCTTGTTCAGCCCATCTTTGATCCTCAGGATGCTGCTGGACATGGGATCCAGCTTGTTGCACAGAGACTCCACGTTAACCATTCGGCTGTCCATGTCGGCGATCTCTGCCCCTACGCCTTGAGTTGCTTCTCTGCAGCGGTCAGCCTCAGCTTTCACCTCCTTGCCGAGTTGGTCCAGCCGCTGCCTCAGCTCCTGATGCTGGGCTCTGTGGAGCTCCAAAAGGTTGCGAGTCTCCTGCTCACCTCCTGTTTTCACTTGATCCCAGGAAGTGTTACGGTTATTCTGTGTTTGAGACTGCTGGAGGGCAATATCTGAGATCAAGTCTTCTACTATCCCTAGATGGACTTTCAGGTCACTTATCTCATCGTTTAAGTCCTCGATTCTGCTGTGGTTAAGGAGTTGTCCCCTCATTGACTCAACATTCCTCATCTGAATGTTTAGATCAATCTTCATGGTATCTACAACAGATTTATAGCTCTTCAAATCCCTCTGAAGGTTTTCCAGGGAAGTCCAATTAGCTCTACAGTCTTGTGAGCACACACTTTTGAGTCTTTGGTCCAGATTTTGAACAGAGTTCTTTAGTGACTCATTTTCACCATCAGAGGGTGAAGTGGCACCCGTGTCACCCAATAAGTTTGAAAGTTTGTCCTCCATGGAGCTCAACTTGTCCTCCAGAGTCTTCTCCAGGTCTTTGACAGCCTCTTCCTGTTTGTTCCGAAGGCTCTCCTCTACAGAGAGGCACTGTGCCATCAGTGACCTCTCCGATGAGTTCAGATGGGTTTCAAGTCTCTCCAGACGAGTCAGAACAGAGTCAGATCCTTCAGAGTCGACTTTCCCTAGATCAGCCACTTTGGTCCTCAGATCTTGGATCTCATTTCGGAGGTCACCTTCTTTAGAGTCCATGAGCTCAGCCAGGCTGTTGTAGTTGGCTTCCTGTCCTTCACACTGATCCTGAACAGAGAGGATTTTATAATCACAGGAATTCTTTAAGTCGGCCATTTTGATTTCCATACCTTCCATCATTTCTTCTCTAAGAGACCTGATCTGATCGTCTACGTATGCTCGCAGGTCTACATCACCTGCCGGGGGATGCAGGAGAGACTGTAGGCGGAGGGGGGTGAGGACCCTCCATGAGTAGACGAATTTGTCCATCATGGTAGTTGACTCGACCCAACAGGTCATCCAAGGTGTTGCTCTTGGACTCCAGGTCATCCTTGACTTGGTTGATCTTGCTCATGACATCATCCACCTGTATTGTCTCATGATCAAAGGAGAAGTCCTGCACTTGAACGGTTTCAGCTTCTGCTCCTTGTGCGCTGGCAGGAAGTTTGAGATCATTCAGCAGCGTGGCCAGCATCTTACTGGCGTCCTCCTGGAAATCCAGCCTCAGACTGGAGGTCATGTCGGTCATTCTCACCTGCATGTCAAGGACCATCTGTGATAGGCGCTGCACCTCCTCCTCCAGGTGTTGTTCTCTTTCAGGTCCTCCATGACCAGCTCTTGCCCTGCCACCTGTCTGACCTCCAACCTGCCCCTCCCTCCTAATAGGTGGTTTCTCTGGTACTCCATCCTCTGGTTAGAAGCTAGAAAAACACACACGTGAAACCTTTTGTTTGAGTTTTTGGGACTCAACTCTAATTTCATGTATTGTTTAAGCCGTTCTCCTTCCTGCTTACCTTGTGATTTGGGAAGTGCCTGGTTGCAGAGGAGACGTGGGGCAAACGCTCCGCATGGAGCAGCCTCAGGTCTTTCACCTCCATGCAGTCGTAGCCCTGGTAGCCAGGGCAGCACCTCCACTCCAACTCTGTTACAGTCTTGTAAGAAATCTTGTACATGGGCCTGAAATGTGTTTGGTATCTGGAAAAAAAGGATTTAAAACGTTAATATTGGCAGAATTATCTGTGGATTCAACAGTAGGTGTTGTTTAGGTTTCTTCTAGCTTTAGCGCTTCAAGCTTACACATCGTTTTATATATATAAACGATATCTCTAGCAGATTAACACAATTTGGAAATTAGAAATGTAAGAAAATACTGATACACTGAAATATCGTTATATTTCTTGTTCTGATACTGAATCGATATTTTAACAAATTTGGTGATTTTCCTTATTGAGAATTTACACACAATTCTTTTCTATGGTGCAATTCAAACTCTGATAGGGGGGAGCAGTTTTTACAGCCTTCGTCCTGATGGAACGATGAGATCTTGTGTTAACGCTAGATGTGTCTGGTCTGAGTTTTCCAATTAAAATCAGTCTTAAAAAAACTACAATTATTGTTTTGTTTTCAGTATCGCGATACATATCATCTCCATTGTATTGTGATATCCCGTATATCGTATCATCAGATTCCTGCCGAAACACACCCACCCTTACACTCACACACACACACGCACACACACACTAGGGGCTGCATGACTTAATAATTTTTAAAGTCGACAGTCAAGTAATGAAAATCTAGTCGACTTTGACTAATCATTGATGGCGTCATACACCTGAAGCGGCTAAAACTGACGATGGGTGACCAAGCGTTTTTTTCAGATGAACGTTAGGAGGCGACGCTCTGGCACAGCGCGTCGCTTTTGACGCCCGTGGTAAAACAGAGATTTCACCAAATTGTGACCTTTACCCTCTTGCAATTTAACCTTCCCCTCACCCCCACCCTAACCTTTACCCAGTATGTCAGTCTAAATTTTCAGTTAAGCGTCTCTGAGAGGAACGATAAAACGTGAAACAAAGCTTTGCATGCGCAAGCTGTTAAGGTTAGGATGGGGGTGAGGGGAAGATTAAATTGCAAGAGGGTAAAGGTCACAATTCGGTCAAATGTCCATTTTACGGCGGGCGTCAGATACCGACGCTCTGGCACAGCGTGTCGCCTCCCAACGCACAGGGGCTTGTCACCTGCTGTCTTTTCCGAGGACTGCATCTTGTCGGTCATTATCACATGACAGCGACTAGTCGATGAAAGGCATAAAAAGTCACTACAGAGCAGTGAAGTCGACTAGCCGACTAGCTGACACAACCTCTAACACACACTGGAAATCGTAACTTATGACACAAACAAATAATCTATCAAAGATTCCAAACAGGACCTGAGAGATGCAGCAGCTTTAGGTCAGTGTGACTTTTAACAATCACCTGTTTTAGGGATGAGTGATCGGGCAAATAAAATGTTGTTTTACAGTGAAATCATAATAACATTCTGATAATTAAATTTTTTAAATTACTTCTTTCGTTTTGTTACTGAACAATGCAACTATGCCGTTTCCCCCAATTTAATAAAATCAGCTGTTTTATGAAAACTAAGATGATGCCACAGCTGGAAATTAATGACTCACCATTTCAAACATTGACCTTAAAGCTAAAAATCTCCACCCAGTAAAAACATCTTCACACTCCAAAGTGATCAGACTCAGAGTGTGTCACGTATGAAAGAGTCTTTGTGACATATCTATGATCTCATTGCTTTGGCAGATTGTTAAAACATTGGCTAAAGCATTTTAAAGTTTAAATCAACTAATTACCCCCTTGTTGAAACTATAATAATAATTTATTAATCAAACTGTGATATATTTCATTCATGAAAGAATAGAAGATTTTCTGCCATTTAATAATAATAATGCATTGAACTTATATAGCGCTTTTCTAGACACCCAAAGACGCGTTTTCACACACACTCACATTCACACACTGCTAGTGATGGTAATCTACTTGTAGCCACATCCGCCCTGGGGAGGTCTGACAGAGGTGAGGCTGCCATTTGGCGCGTCGGCCCCTCTGACCACCACTAACACAGGCAAGTTGGGTGAAGTGTCTTGCCCAAGGACACAACAGCAGGATACCCCTGGCGGGAGCTAGAATCGAACCCATGACCCTCCGATCACGAGGCAACCCGCTCTACCACCTGAGCTACTGATAGGTTTACTTCTCAACTAGGCCTTGTTGCCATGAATTTAAAGGAAAGAAATAATAAACCATAAAAAATATTTCTCCTCATTTTAGTTTTTTTTAACATACATTTTCCTCATTCTTAAAGTCCATCAGACTAAAAATAATCAGTTGACAGGCTGAAAATTAATGACAAATCAGCCCAAGTCTTAAGCAAAAATAAAAAATAAAATAAAATAAAATAACTAAAAAATCTGAAAATAAATATTTATAGGAAACCGTGGCCCAAAATGAAGCAAAATATAAAGAAACAAGGAAAAACTTTAGTTTTTACATTTGCATTCAGTTAAAGGTGCAGTATGTAAGAATACAGTGATAGTTTTATTGTGAGAAATCCAAGAGTCTAAAGTTTCAGTCATTTAGGAAGGAAGGTTATACTGAAACATCCAACGTGCTGCAGGGATTTTCAGTTTTTTCACCTTTTAAAACAAAAAGAGGGACGTAGGCTATACTGTTTGCTATCAGTGAGTGTGGGGGGGTGTCTCCTGTAAGCTAATACTGCAGCGCCCACAACTGCAATTTGACAATGACGGGAAAAAGCTCCAGTTGTTTAACCCTTTGATGCATGAATTATGAAATCTTCAACCATGATTTTTTAACAATTTTTTTCATTCGTCTTTAGGTGTGAATGAAACAAATTTCAACAAATATTTTTTGTAAAATTTTATAATTTACAAATAATTTATTACATGTCCACTTCAGTGGGCAGTGTGCATTCTGAGCATGAAATACGTTGGCTTGACTTACTGAAGTCCAAACACAGGGGCTCAAATGCAATAAAGTCTTCAACAGCTGTGCTTAATATCAAAAACAATAAATAACAATTTGAGTACCTGTCCACTGTAGTGACCATTATGCATCAAAGGGTTAAAGTGGTTGCCATAATCAACTTTTACCACAGGGTGTCATTTTTACTTCCTTTCTACATAAAAATTTATTATCAATTAAACTTGAAAATCAAACCATGTCTTAAATGATAAACAGATGCCCTCACACATGAGATAATGACCTAACTGTGCTCTGCTGTTAGTCATTCCAAAAGGGAACCATAGTAATGACATAAATCCAGACCCTGGAAAACAAACTGAAATATGATAAGGATGCTGGAAGGCCTACAGGAACCAAAATAAACAACTGATGAGGGTATTTACCCATTAGTTTTAACATCGTAAGACACCAGTTGCTTTATTTGTTTCAAACAGAATAAAGACTTACATCACTTGTTGCGCACAGTCAGGCTGCTCCGGTGGACACGGTAAAAACTCCGGCTGCGCAAAACTCTCCGTCCCTCCCACGACGGCGCAGCTCACGTTCTTGTGCACAACATAGGCGCACCAGTTCCTACAGATAACGATATTGTAACTCCGTAGGTTAATGAACGGAAACCTACAGGATGAAACTCACTTGCTCCTCTGACGCGTTTCGGCGCCATGATGCGCGTTTCCATGCTGTGATGGAAAGGTGTGCCGCTGATGGGTCAGGAAACGTTAATAAAAGGAGAAGGAGTTCCAGTCCAAGATTCATGGCTAAGATGTTTAAAAGTGGTTCCGATTGTGGTCAGTAGCGAAAGTCTGCGGTGCGTCAGAGCTGTGCGGTTGTTCCGCTTCTTCTGCGGTGCGCAGATCTAACAAGCTCCTTCCACACATCTGGATGTGAGTTGCAGCGGGCAGGACAGATGCCTCACCTCCCTCTTCTTTTTCTTCCCAAAGTTTTTTTAATGCAATGAAATTGTGATTTTTTTTAACTTTATATTAAAACAGTATTATATGAATATAATGATTTATAAACATGAAAACAGACAAAAAAATTATAGATATTTGTGACTTAATTCAAAAAACATGTCTTATGACTTTAATTGAATGACTTGTATATAAGTTTTGAAAAATGTTAAATTCCAGAAAGCAGTATCAGCTGGTGCTATGAGTGAAAATATTTCCCTTCATAGTCCATTTATAAGTATTACAATGACGCGTTGGAAAATTACAATTCTAAAAAATCATTAACTCCTCTACTAACAATAAGTAGTTTTACAGCTGAAATAAATTATCAAAGAATGATAATACTCATACATGAAATAATACTCATGTCCTTATTCACCTTTTATTTGACAGTTTGTTTTGCAGCTCGAGTTTTCTGTGTTTCTATTCATTTGCCCCTAAACGTGCAATACTCAGCTCACCAGTAGGTGGAACTAACGAGACAGAATAATTGAATTAATTCATATTAAAATGACATAAAATGAGAACAAATAAACGTCTTACATCCACATTTATGAACTCAGCTCTATATTTAACTGTGTGAGTGAGAATGAGGAAATGGAAAGAGATGGAAAAAGGAGGTCGAATGCCTCTAGCGGGCTAGCATCAAATTCTGTTGATTGGCCAAAAAATTCTCTAGTTCTCCCTATAACCTAATTTTATTGGCTGTTTAGCTGCAACTTAGAGCACTTTTCCCAGCACCTCAGGGGTGAAACGGTGAAAATATTGAGTCTGGTGGAATAAAGTCATTGTTTAATGAGAGAAATCTGGTGAAAATGATGAGCAAAGCACTCAGATTGTATGTAGGAATAAGAAGGAAATCATGTTGCCAAAGTTGGGTAGAGAAAAATGCGTCAGAGGTCTGAAGTGAGAGCTTCTTATATACAACAAAGATTGTTTATAAGAAGTGTTTCTCACTTTGATCCATTTTTAAAGCCCAAAAATGTAACCTTTTAACACCGATGTCTTTGTGCCATTTAATAACTTTTTCTATCATCAACAAAGTATCTCAGGATAATGTGATTCACCTGCTGCAGAAAACAAAAGGAATATTATTTTTCCTGTTGACTAAAGAAACGTTTTTATATTACCCAACTCAAACTTTTTATATGTATTGTTTAGGTCAACTGGGTGGAACAACTCTGGCTTTGGAGATTAAGGATTTTTTTCTCCCTCTGCTGGAACAAAAATGTTACAAAGTTTGTGCAAAAGCAGTGGTTCATTAAATTACTGCAGGGTAATAAAATATGTATTTTTCATACATTTTTCCATTAAGCAACAACAACAATCCACAAATCCACTTTTTTACCTGGATATGTGCGTAGATGGATGTGGCTCAGGTGTTCAGATTGCACAAAATGTAAGCAATGGCCCAAACGACGAACAGCATCCAAATTCAGCACAGGAGACTAAAGTAACATATTTTTTTTTAAACCCAGGAAGTTATGTTTCAGGATTTAAGTTGCTTAGAAATCAGATTTACAAAGGCTTAACAGAATAGTGTGTCAACAAAATGTATCCGAAAGTCAAGAAAAAGAATCCTTCCAACATGAACTGAACAGAGATAATAAAAACAAAAGTATGTAAATGTAGTCCCAGATGAATTAAAAAAGATATTATCCCAGCAAAGACTTTAACATTTAATTAGTTTCTCAGTCAATCAACCAACATGCAGATCCAGGTGTTTCCCTTTGTGCAAAAATGATTTCCCCTTAATGATAATTGCATCTATTCCCCGTGTACATCTGCTCAGGACAGAGTCAGGTTTTATGTTTCACAGTATTAATTATTTAGTAGAATATAAACGACAGATTTGCAAATACATGAGTTTATTTTACAAAACGGTTACTTTATAAAAAAAACACACACACACACACACACACACACACACACACACACACACACACAATACTATTTTGGTTTTAGGACAAAAAAGAAAGAAATAACATGAAACTAAAGCAAAACAATAAAAAATGCATAAATGTATGGAAAAAGGGAAGCAGAACTAAAAATCAGGTAAGAGATCTCTGGATTTTTGTCTAGGTCGTTTCGTCTGGATGCCGGAGGGTTCTCAGGTTCTCAGGACCACGCTTCCCTAATCTTACAGAAGCTGCAGGAATAAAATAGAACATTCAAGAAAAAAATATCAAAATTCAGAAAGAAAGAAACAAAATAAAACTTACAGAGTTGTCTTTCAATCTCCTCAAACTCTTTCTTCATCTCTTCACTTTTTGATGCTCTTGGAGCCTTTTGGGTGAATCTCTTCCATTATGCATTCATCATGAGCTTTTTCTACCTGTTCCATTTTCAGCCTTATGGACTTGTACTTCTCCAGCAGATCTATCAAACAAACAAACAAACAAACACGTTCAAAGCCCAATCGGGCTAAAGAAGAAAAAAGAAGAAGTCAGATTATAGTTTAAGAGTCGTTACCTAGTTGCTCCTTCAGTGTGTGGTAGTGTTGGGGAAGCGGTGCTCCAACACTCGCAACTTGACAATGGCGGAGCTTTGTTTTGTGCACCTCCAAATTTACCCCTAGCGCTGACTCGGTCACCCTCTCGAGTCAGTATGGTGGGACAATTGATCCTGTTTTCACAAGCTGCAAGTAACAAGTCATGTAAGTACAGATACACCTCATTCAGTCCGTACGCGCCAAGCCGTCAGCAGGAATCACTCACCGCCTTCCTGTAGTTGGTTGCGGAGGTTAAATCATCCATCAGAATTGTGAATCCAAGAAAATTTTTAAAAACTGTGATGGAAACACAAACAGGAAACTTCACAGAAGGGGGCACGTTTTATTGCATTTCTGCTTCAGTGAAATATCCCTCCTCCAACTTGAGTTTGGATTTAAGGTGGTAACATTCACCAAAGGTAGGCCCTTACAACACACAGAAACAGACGCTTAAACCTAATCTCTACTTCTCCGTCTGCTCCAGTGCGAGTAGCGCACA